AGATACGCTTTTCGCGGCATCTTGAAAATAGAGTTTTTGATTTTGTTTTTTACCAAAATACACAACATAATGATGAATATCTACTTTTAACGGACCCCATAAACATAAGTCAATAACGTGAGAAAACTTGTCAATTAATACCCCATTTCTAAACACATGAGCCGATTTCGTTGTATGGTATCGTTATTACATTGTTGTTTGGCGAAAAAACTGCTAGATTCAGTAAATATTGGTTAACTTGAGCTAGTCAATGTTTCAATATTTTTTCTAAAATGAAAAATCATTATTACGCACTATCATAAATAACGATTTTTGTCAACTCTGTGAAGTGTCGTCCCAAGAGTGTAAGTGGGTACTGAAACTTTTAAGAATTTTATTTTATCACATCTGTCGTTTAACTTTTGAGATTTCTTTTAAATAAATCATTTGTGTTGTACCCCAAGTGGTCCCTTTGGTTAGTTAATAGATGCTGCCATTGGTCTCCGATCAGTTACTTCGGCCCGACATTTACTCTAATTTATTTGTTTGAACTCATACGAAACGTCACATTAATTAAATACTTTATGGTCAACTCAATGGATATTTTGTTGACGTGCAGCCTCAACCTTTCAGCATATTTCAAATCTGGAATGTATTTAGAAACAAAAGTAGTTTTTTTTATTATATAAACATTTCCTGCCTCAAGTTTCGTTGAGGTATTAATTTTTAACACGTCGTTATCTCACACTTATGAACACTTATGACCAAGTTGTCAATTTATTTGAAACGAAGCTATGTAAGTACCTACCTACTTAAAATTGATATAAAATTACTAGTGGTGATGGTGAACTAGGTTTATATAACTCTTATGGAGTTAATATGGAATAATATATAAATTATATTAAAATATATAAGTATACGAAAACTTTATTTATTTATTGACGTTTCGTAAACTTTACAGGCTACGTCGTCAGAATAAAACTTTTATTCAATTTGTCGAGCTACCTTCGGGTAGCCACCACGCGGGCCCAGTGCGGATTGGCGGGTGCTAACGACTGCAGATGCAGTCGAGACCAACGGCTTAACGTGCCTTCCGAAGCACGGAGGAGCTCGAGATAGTAAATTTTTCGTCACCCACCCAATGACCGAACACTGCGAAAGTTGCTTAAATAATTATATAATTACTAGCTGACCCAGCGAACTTCGTACCGCCATAAAAAAATAAGTGTTGGTGGTAGAAGGGTGAAAATTTAGGGTTGTATGTATTTTTGTTTAATGTATCATAAAAAAATAAACAAAAAAAATATCTAAAATTTAAAAAAAAAATTTTGGGGTGCGCCGTTTCGGAGGAGTTTAACCACAAACACCGCGACAAGAGAATTTTATATATTAGATTAATATTTCGAACACTCACACCAATTAGTCTAGTCCCAAAGTAAGCACTGTAAGCTTGTGTTACCGGATACTAGGGTAACGGGTAGAATACATATATATATATATATATATATATCTCTTCCCATCTACATGGAACCAACAACAGAGCTGGTGCGGCTTGCAAAGCGGCTGAAAAAGCTAAGGCATACAAATACAGGGGTCTATGCTCCGAATATGATTTTGTCCCGTTCGGTGTCGAGACCCTCGGCCCGGTGGGTCCTAGCGCTGTAAGGCTTTTCAAGGAAATAGCAACAAGGCTAGTCGACATCACAGGAGACCGAAGAGCTGGCAGCTACCGCGGACAAAGAATTAGTGTAGCTATTCAACGGGGGAACGCTGCCAGTATCTTCGGAACCTTGCCTAAAGGGACTCCTTTAAATAATGTATTTTAGTTATTATATTTTTTTAAGTTTTTAGTTATAAATATCTTACTATTTGTTCTTTAGTTAAATGTACACATATCAAAACATTACAGAAAAAAAATACATATTAAACATCAACATAATTCTCTGTAATATTTTGATTACGTGAATAAAGAAGAAATACGTGTCTAATACTTTTTGATAAATCTACCTGTTTGACGTAGAAAAAAAATAGTGTGCACGGACCACACATCAGAAGTGATAATTCTTTTCTTAAATAAAACCTAACATTAGGCGGTGCATAAGGCATAGGGGAATGCAGTTGCGCACGCGCCACTCATAGTCATATATGTATATACTAGCTGACCCAGCGAACTTTGTACCGCCATAAAAATAGGGGCAGGTAGTAGACGAGAAATTTAAGGTTGTATGTATTTTTTAATACCACATTGTAAAAAAAAAATATTGTCCAAAAAAATTTTAGGGGTGTGTGAGAACACTATGTTACAATACCCAATAGTATAGTAGAATTTTGGCACGAAGGCGCATTGTAGGTTTCAGAACACTACGTTACAGGAACAACCATTATCACTTAAGGATATGAAAAATAGATAGTAGCCGATTCTCAGACCCACGGAATATGCATGTAAAATTTCATAAAAATCGGTCAGGCCGTTTCGGAGGAGTATGGTAACTAACATTGTGACACGAGAATTTTATACATAAGATTATGTATAAGATATTGTCGCGTGTGATATCATGAGCATGACGTACTTCCGTCTCATCTTTTCCATAGGACTTTGCCATTTAAATCCCGTCCGCAAAAAGTTTCACTTCAAAAAAGTTTGTCATCATCCCTATTATACGCAGACGATGTCACGGTATCTTCTAGTATTACACATAAAAAGAAGCCGTAACGTAAGCACGTTTTTTTTTAAAATACTGAAAGAGACGCACACTCCTTTCCATTCATACTGACATGACGATTTGTGAAACAATGTCGAATGAAAAACATGTTGTTATAGTTCAACGGGCACAAATAAATTTGAAACACAGTATCTCGTGGATGCAAGTTTTTCTTACCTAGTAGTAGCAGAGTGTAGAAAATTGGAAAGTATTACTTAGACTGGAGGAGCTCGATGGCGCAGGTGGTTAGCACATTCAGCTATGATCGTTGAAGTTAAGCAACTTTCCCAGTGGTCGGTCATTGGATGGGTGACCAAAAATTTGTATCTCGAGTTCCTCCGTGCTTCGGAAGGTACGTTAAGCCGTTGATCCCGGCTGCTTCTGCAGTCGTTAGCACGCGCCAATCCGCACTGGGCGCGCGTGGTGGGTCATGGCTCAATCTCCTTATTCCATCAATAGGGAAGGCCTGTGCCAGACCCGTCTTTCCCAGTGAGCACTTTGGGCAAGTGCCCAGGACCCCGCGATCGATAGGGGGGCCCCTCAGATCAAATACAAAGTCCCTAGTTCCTGTTAAATCACCAAACGAAAGTCATAGGGGCCCCATTGTCCTAATATGCCCAGGGCCTCCAATAGGTCAAAGAGGGCACTGCCTGTACCCCAGCAGTGGGTACATTAATAGGCTGCTGATGATGATGATGACATAGACTGTGGTAATAGCGTAGTTATTGCAGTAAGTTGCCCCTTATTAAACGAAGAATAAGATTCAACTAATTACGCCTTGTTTTGTCCATATCTCTCAAGTGCCATTTGTCATTCTATGAACAGAGATAAAACATGGAGTAACTAACTAATCCAAGATTATTCTGCATTTATTAATAAGTGGGATTGACTTGTTTCAAAAGAGAAAAAGGGCTAAATGATATTTTTATGTCAGTCGAGAAGTGTGGCAAAACTTTGTTCTTTTGCCAGCGTCTCAGCAGATTGTTGCGGCATTATCCTGAGCGAAAACCATTTTGGTGTAGTAGAAATCAAGTTTTTATTTTATCTCTATTTTTTTATTTTCATTATGTAGTTTATTTTAATTGTATGTGATAGTTTATACATACCGACTTACTAAATAAATATTTATTTGTTCTATTTAATGTATAAATAAGGTATTGAGATCTAAGACAAATTAGTTGCGCACTAGAAAAGCATTTAACAAGTTGTTGGGATAATTCCATTGCTAACTTTCACAGGGCAACTCCAAAGAAGCTTTTTGATTTTCGAATTCGCAGCAAAAAGTTTAATTAGAAAAAGTTATTGAATTAAATATTACAAAAGTCCTATAAAATAAAGATAAAAAAATACCAGCCCAGTGCGAATAGGTCTCATGCACGAAGAGTTCCGTACACTAATAATCATATTTTGGACTCAATTGTGGAGTTTGAAAAGTTAGGCTTTGTTGATTTGGGACGTGTAGAGTTAGAAACTTGGCTCTACATGAGAAATGATAACTTTTTGACAGTGAGAGTCATATAGTCTCGTCTTGGCAACATTTTACGTGAAAATGTTTTTAGTGTGATACACTTTTCTATACATACTTGATAGGATTTTTTAAATGCTTGTTAATGATGCTACATGAGTTTCTGCATTGTCTCGGACGCAACATAAATTGCGCGTACGCAGACGGGGCGCGCGATACCATGGTAGGGGGGCGAACGAAAATATTGCTCTCCGAGGAGTCCCGGCGCGGTCGGGTGCGCCCACATGTGCGCCAGTGCAGTCAGTTGTCGATATTATCTGTGTATCGATATAAAAAACTGTTTGAAATCACTATAATAATAATTTATTTAATAAACAATGGATAAAGAAAATTATTACCTTCCTATTATTTCACAAGATTGAGACTAGATTCTATCTTTGGTAGCCGAACAGTGTCCTTTAAAGTAATATATGTTCTAAAATGTATCCAAAAGTACTTATTAAAGTTTTAAACGTGTATTTATTTAATAATTATAACTTGAATTAAAGTATAATGAAAAAATATCTTCTTGTTTAACGAGTTTATACTTCTTTCATCCACAATATTCAATCTAAATCGATTTTACTTTTTTATACTTTTGAGGGGACTCGTAGCAACATAACTTTAACCGCATGTTTTTCATTAACAATTACTTTACGTTACGTAGTCACCAGAACGTTAAAACGAGCACTCGGTCTCCCTTTACGCTAATAAGCTCCCTTATCGATAATTTGTTTAATTAAAAAGCTGTGCGTCCGTCGCCCCTAATCCCTACATCTCCCGTGTCCCGTCTTAAGGAGCGGCAGCTAGTCACAGTTTAGTCGGCGCCCGCGCATCCCGTTCAACTGGCGCGATCCAAAAATACCAGCCGGGCCGCGCTGAGCGCGTTCAAAACAAAAGAACACTTAAAATTTCGAACCCGAATTCCGAAATCAAAACGAAAAATTCTCGTGATAACGAATATAGAACTATCGACTAATCGGGTGCAGTAAAATCGATTCGCGTTCCATTTTAGCTAGCTAGTGCCGTTTTGGGTGGTGTGCTAAACTGTTCTAATGCTGCGATGTCGCCGACGGCCATCGGCGCCGACCTGCCCCAGTGGTGCGGGAAGACCGAGGGTTGTCCCCAAGCCTTGCTCGGCTGGCTGTACTTGAAGCATGACCAGAATGAGGTGAGCTGCTCAAAATAAACACCAACACGATCAAACTGAAAACACTTCCGGTTATGAAACTTTTTGGTAATACATGAAACCTCTCTTTTCTTTGACCTTATTTCGATTTAAACTTGGCACAGCCATCCGTAGATTGTTCGTATAGATTGCTAGGAATGCTCAGCCAATTATTAGACCAATTCTATTACAATCAACTGATGAATCGTGTAACTATTAAATTTAGAAACAACAATTTTGATTACTATACTCTCACTATAAATGTATACAGTTGTAGGGAGTGTGAAGTACCTTTATGCGATGCCGTCCGTTTAGTTCGGTACATAAACTCTATTTTTACCGAATCCAGAGAGTAACGCACTTTCCAAGCCCGGCGCATTGTATTTTCTAGTTAGATGTTGTAAAAGATCGACTTAGAAAAAACTCTTATTTGTTAAAAGCAATTAATTAATCAGCGATGATTTAAATATTACCGCTTAGAACATCAAACAATAATAATAATTACTCCTTTCACACTCAAAAACTACAAACTTGAGACAATATACTTTGAGACTTCAAAGTATATTGAAAAACAAATAAGGCAACTGGGGAAACAATTATTTTGACCGGTAATTTCCATAACTTTGACTTGAATTAAAATTCATGTTACTGTAAAAATTGTATATTAACTCAAGTTTAACGTAACTTTCGTCAAATTTAAATTAACTTATATACTGTTATCACTTATAATCACAGATATTGATAAATTCTTTCCTTCGATGCTTACAAACTTTAATGGGTAAGAACTTTTATAAGATAAACACAAAAACGTTGTTTAAAACGGGTACATTAATTGTATTCTAAAAAGATTATTAAAAATAAGAAAATTCTACTCTGTTACCAAGGAATCGAAAAAGGTTAACACCGTGATGTTAACTACGTTTTTTAATAAAAAGGGGAATTCCCTAAGTGTTTTAATCAACATACATGAAGTGATGTATGTTGAATAATGAATTCTACTTTCAATGTTTGCAGAAATATTAATAATCCAGGCTAAGTGCACATTCTTTAGGTACCTATAAAGAAGAGGACTCGAATTCATTCAGAAAGGGTTCTTTACCACCGTTTATGATTTAACTATCAGCGCCAGCGCAATCAGTCAGTCAGTAACGTTTGCCTTTTATTATCATAATAATCATAATCAAAATCATTTATTCAGTTTAGGCTGTTACAAGCACATATGAATGTCTCGAAGCTACGCCATCGGTTCGTAAATCTACGGAGGGAGACCTTGTACTGAGCAGAACCGGTAAGAAACTCAGCAGGGGCTGTTTTTTCTCCCTGTTTTATCATCTACAGAGTCGTCAAGTTGAAAAATGACTTCAGAGATGATTCATGAAGTCACCTTTCATTACATAATGTGAAATTATACATTAATTGTTCACCTGCATTTTGATTGCTGTGTCACACAGTATAAATACAATATTATATTTATAATAGGTGTAATTAAACGTTTACATCTCAAATATCAAAGTAGTTAGGGCAGACTCATCTCCGCTGGCAGTACCCGTTCACGAGCATGACGCATGTACCAGCCATCGCTTCGCTCAACCATATTTTAGGGAACGTAACGACCCGCCTCACTCGATTATATATATGTACAGATTTAGTGTTAAGGGAAAATAGGAAAACTGTGTATTGTATATATATGTTTACTGCATACCTGTTACAAGGGTCGCCAGGTCGCCAAACCTATTAGCCGGACAGACCAGCCAATTTGGCCTTTGGGTAAAAAGGCCGGACACCCTACACTATCGAGGATTTTGTGGCTCGGTAATATTAGGTAGAGTCTGTGCAGAAAGAGAAAAGACGTGGCGAAGAACGGAACTAACATTGACATTTTTATTTGGCAATCGAACCCAGCAATCTGTAAAACTTCAAAGTTTTATATTGATACGGATTTGTTTGTTGTTGTGATTTCTTGCGGTTTTTTTTTGTATTTAATCATGTCTAAAAGTGGTTAAACCTCATAAATACGGTAGAAAAGCACTACAGCGCCCTCCAATCTAAATCCCATTCTCTTTCCGCAAACACTCTACTACATTTTGTTTTTGTAAAAGTCACCGACAGTCTACTAGCTCGCGCTCGGCCACGCTCGGCGCTCGCTCGTTTGAGAAAGGTAACAAGCCTAGCAAAAGTCGGACAAGCCGGACACCGTTTGTTTTGGCCGGACACGCAATGAAAAAGCCTATCTATGTCCGGATTTATCCGGACGCCTGGCAACGCTACCTTTTACGGTTCCGCTGGCAAACGGATGGTGGTTAGGTATTAAAGTTCCGCTGTCACCTTTGGTTTTGGAACTAAAAAAGGAGTAGGTATCTTACTTTTTAAAGTAACTAGGTGTTTGAAGAAACTCTTATCCTTTATTAAAGAACGAATTTCGGTTTTGCGTATTCTCGAAATATCAAACTACTGAAATACACCCAGATTGATCAAACGAAAGTTCAACACACTATGTCAAATCTTTTTACGATGACCCAGGGCCGTCCGCAATGAATACATGGTATTGTTCTATGTATCATGCACCAAATTAGTTTTGATAAGCGAGTTCTTAGTAATGGGATCAGATATTTTTGCTTGGTTATTGGAAACACAGAGGAGAGACTTAAGTAGGTAGGTACCGCTTTCTAAGCTCATATTTTGCACAAAAAGGAGTGTATGATTAATGCTTAATTTAATTTAATTTTGTTTAAGGAGAAATATAGGGAATGCAATACCGGGATACCGGGATCTTGAAATACTGGAATCCAGCTTATATTTTGTGGGACTAATCTCTGTCTAAAAATTAGCGGAAACCTCCAGGAAATGCAATACCGGGATCCCGTAACACCGGGATCCTGCTTACATTTTGTGGGACTAACCTTTGTCTAAAAATTTGCGGAAAATTATCCGTACGTTATAGGTACCCGTATCTAAAGCTCTTTTTGTTCTAACGCAAACACACTATAAGTAAATGCTAAAAATATGAATTAAATAAGATTTAAAAAAAATTGTTACTATACAATAATAAACTTAATTTGTTAACGCCACTCAAACAATATTTGTATAACTATTAACGGGATTGTAACCATGTACCTTCTTTTATATGAGCCCCCGATATTTCGGCACTGTTGCAAGCGCCATGATCACGGAGTAACAAGGTACATGGTAACGATCCCGTTAATAGCTATAATGTTAGTGACCATCGAAGTTTAAAACTAAATATTTGTTAGTCGGTAAACAAACAAAACACTAATTAATTAATTAATACCAGCTTACACCATGGTCTAATTATTAGGAACTTTAGGCAGTGAAATTTCCATTACAAATATTCGTTCCATTTGAAAAATGCGAAAACGCTTTCTAATTAATTACAGAAAGAACCATCACGTTATTTACCATCTTTACCTTAGAAAAAGTATTTATACATAAATACATAATTATTCCTGTTGGTATACTAGAATCGTCTTTACTGTAAATCAACAAATTATACAGTTCTATCTACATGTTGATTCGGAACAACACGTTTCTATATTTAGTACTGGACTCTACCTGTTTTGTATCATCGTAATATTACAGTGAAAATACACATGAGCAAGCAAATCAAGGGTAAAAAATACTTCAATTCCGATTTTCAAACGTACGCAATGTATTTATTATACATTGGTACTTTTCATTCGGGCATTTTTCTTGTGAGCGTTTTTTATGTGTGCAAACCAGTGCAAACTCAGGTTCTTTAATTTTTTTTTGTTTATATATCTGAAAAAAAGATTTTGTTATATTTTAAACATTTAATTGCTAGATATTTAAATCTAACTATAATTTTACTAAGTATGTAAAACTATAACTGCTATTTCTTCTTTCAAATGTTTATTATTTGTGTAGGTATACATTTGACATTGTGGGTTTTTTCCTAGCAAAAATTTTATTTAGCAAAATGTTTGTTTTTTTACCATTAGTATTTTGGGCGACATCGTAGTTTCTGTAATACGAAAAATTGCCTTATTTTGTACTTTGTGTACTATCTAGATCGAGTTATTTGTTTATTATCTAGATCGAGACCTGATAATAATAATAAGTTATTTATTTGTTTCAACATACAATTGGTACAATACACAAATAGAATGACAGTAAATTTTAATTGAAACAAAAAGGTATGTGGCTCAGCATAATCTTTTTAATGCGAATAAAATGTAAACCCCTTATCATCATCAGCCCATTAATGTCTGCACTACTGGGGCACAGGCCTTCCCTATGGATGGAATAGGACGTTTGGGGCATGAACCACCACGCGGGCCCGGTGCGGATTGATGCTAACGACTGCAGATGCAGCCGGGAAAAACAGCTTAACGTGACTTCCGAAGCCCGGAGAAGTTCGAGATAGTAAATTATTGGTCACCCATCCAATGACATCCAAATTAACTTCAACGATCGCAGCTGAACGCGCTAACCACTTGCGCCATCGAGCACCTCAATATCAGTTAGTATTAAGTATTGTGTTAAGTGAATTTTCCAACTCTATTTTGAATGTAACAAGTCACAACATTGATAATAAAAGGTTTTTCATCTGTAATGGATTGGAAATATATTATGAAATAACAGAAGAGCACCTCATATTGTAGTGTTGTCTAATTTAATTATTCTAAATTATACTAAAAACAAGAGAGTGTGTACAGTACCAGTTCCAACAGTGAAAAGTGATTTTGCACGAAAACAATTTCATAATATTACTCCTCGACTATACAATAAGCTTTTGAAGATTAACAAAAATATAAAACACGTCGATAATTATACTATAAAGAATATAATCCTAGATTGACTAAATAGACTAGAATACAATGATGTAGATCAATTTCTAGATATATAACATTGACAGAATAAAAGCGATAAAACAAATGCACATATGCTACACAACACACACGCAGGTACATATACATACACACTAACACACACACACATACACACACATACACACACATACACACACACACACATACACCGATTAATGCTATACCTAGGTACTTTTAGAACATTATTCTTATATAATTTTTATTTAGTAGTTTTAAATTAATGTAGCTCTAAAGTAACAATAGTGGGGAGAGCACTGTCTTCTGGTCCTCAGGATAACCTTTTCCAGAGGACAGGTACGAAAATGTAAAGTGGTTCCAATAAATTATTATTATAATTTGACGCACTTTATCGTCTTAAGTATCATAAGGGCAAAGGAGACGGAAAGCTTCTCCTACTTACTAGCTTACTACTATCAAATAATATTGCTACAGTTGCATTTAAAATTTTAATTTACTTCCAGTGCATCTGGATTCCATATATTTCCATTTGCTTTCGTAATAAAAAGTTACTATAACTTTCTAGACCCCCCCCCCCCTTTTAGGTGATATAAAACTATTCTTGAGACTGGCTGTAAACCGTGGCACTGCTTTAAATATACAAAATACAACCAATTAAAAACAAACGTACAAAACTTATTTAGTCCAATGTATTAATGTACTGACATAGCTTGCCTTGTTTATACGGAATTGAAAAGCGTTCCTAATTTGCAGCTGTGGGCACGTTAAAAATAAATCTTATTCGAACGTAATAGAGTCAACATTCCAACAATTACTCTGTTTGGTTATGATTCACAGCGTCAACGCACGCGCTTAGAATTGGATCGAGACTAGGGTGCCTATGATTTCATCCTGAATAATGTACACATCATCATCAGCTGTTGTGTGTTTATTTTAGTCACCAAATTCATCATGCATAATTTCAAGCGACATTTTTATATGCCTTTCAGAATTGGCGGAATATCAAAGATGCAGTTTAAGACATGAGATGATATACTTAAATGCAAATATAATATCATTCCCACATTTGGTTTGGAAGAAGATGAAGAGTAGCTTGTGATATTTTAAAATACAATGGAAATCTGTCATACCAATGCCTTAAGCAGATTCTGTAGCCTCTCTAAAACTAAAATTATGTCATTATTATTAAAGTGATCGGTGTGATGAGATAGTGAGATATGAAATGATTCAGAACTAAATTTTGATAAAAAAATCAAAATTATATCCAGAACAAGTAATAATCCTGTGTTGTTTTTGTTATGAAGGTTACTGTATTTCTGGTGGATTATTGTTATATAAAAATATTCGATTTCTACATTCCTCTAAACTTTTATCTATCACGACACCTGAACAAGAAAAAAAATGCCTGTCTGTCCAAATATAACGATGTCAGAAATTTAAGATTTCTTTGAGTCTTTAAATCCCAATTTGGTTCCGTAACATAGATGCACCCTAACACTGTGGTAATTCGTTGGCCAGATGCGCGGACGCACTTCGACCGACCAATGGGTGTTAACTTCTTTAATTGTCACAATTTCGTTTGTCCATAATCTTGTCGGTGCAAATGTTTGGTTTATTCCAAAGAGCAGAAGTCTCGTAGTTATTGTCTGAACCAGTTATTAACAGAAATCAAGACAGTGTTTATGATAAACTAATGAGCGACAACTTTATTTGTATAAAATACTTTGGTCTCTGCATTATTTTTGATTATAGCTTCATGTACCAACCTTCGGCCTTCGCAGTCTGCTTTCTCTGAGTTCCCGCTTATTTCATCTAACTTTTCAACAAAATTGATTGATTTCAACGGATGTATCTATTTATAAAATACGTATGGACGGATAAATATATTTAAGGATTCGCGTGGTTGGCAGATCATCAAAGCTCATGATACATTATATGCTATAACAGGTGTGAATTATATTGCTATAGCCACTTTGAATTGAAGTTATTTGGCATTGGTTTTTGGTCTAAAAAGTTTTAAGGAAACTGAGATATAGGTTAACATAAAACCGAATGAAAACAATCGGAAGCGCAATCTACGTTTTGGACGTCTTGTGTTTCTGTTGATGGTTGAAGTTTCCAGGGCTTCACTAACGATGAAAACTGGGTTCAAGTCGATAAGCTGAAGATGCAACTGGACTCCAAAAACAATTAGCTATCTAATGATACGAAAACAAACAGTACCGTATCACATAGTAATAATAATGGTACTGTTTATACCAGATAAAAATAAAGCTATAAATATTTCATTCCCTGACAACCCAATTTTAGATTTTTACATAATTCTAATACAGGCCGGCTTGAGTCCAAGCGATGCCAATCCATTTTCTATCTGATGATAATTATTACATATTATATCTCAACCTGTCGAAATTTGTTTCCAGTGGGTACCAGGCTCGGTATGGGGCCCTCTCCCGACCGCAGCCACCGGATCCACCGCTCCACCGGCTGATGACGTCAGCTCGTTGGCGGACCAGTTGACAGCGCTGTCATTGAGGCGACCGCCACGACCTCCGCCGCCTGCCTACATGTGCCACCTGTGCTTCAAGAAGGGCCATTACATTGGTGACTGTCCGCAGGTAAGATGATTACCATTTAGCCGCACTACTTTCTAGGCTAGCTTCTGAAGTGCCTGAAGAGGACCCAGCTCGTTGGTAGAACAGCTAACATCGCTGTCACTAAGGCGACCACCGCCGCCTGCCTACATGTGCCATCTGTGTTTCAAGAAGGGCCATTACATTGGTGACTGTCCGCAGATTAGACGCTTGCTATAAGCAACACTTTTTTCTAGGCGAACTTCATCTGAAGTTTCTAAGGATGAGTCACTCACAACACGGTCTTTTTTCAATGTCAGTCCCCTAGCACAAAAATAAAATAAAAATCACTTATAAATTGAGTTATAAATATATATTTTTTTATTTATTATTTTATTGTTTGTATATTGTTGTTGTAAATACAAAGTAATATATTTATTTACGGGATGTTGTATAGATTGATGGAAATATTCAGACTCAAACAGTAGATATTATATCTTAAAAATTGCAGACTGTTGTATGCTAATTAAAATATTCAATTTTCACCGGTCAAATGTGCTGGCAAAATCCCATGCCCATAATGTCACACACACGCTAAACATCAGTATGCTTAGCGAAGCACATACCACATAGGTATTATTTAACCACCCATCCAATGACAGGACCTCCGAGAGTGTAAACCTTAAATAAAAAAAAGGATAATAAAAATAAATAATTCATTTTAATAAGTAATTTCCTAAGACAGGTAAAATTTAAAGCTCAGAACTTTTCTAATCAACTTTTCTTTCAGCTGTTGATATAATAATAACAAATCATTTACTCATAACCTAAAATTTAACATTTTTAGTAACTATTGGTATACATACAACCCGTGACCCCCTCTTGTAGTTCTGTCCTACAAAGAGGGAGCCATACGGGCACGCCCAAGTAGCCCTCCGCAGCGGACGGGGGGCGGTACGGTGGGCACTAGGCCGCGTACTCAGCCTCCACGCGCGGGCCATCCTGCGCACGTCTGCGAGGTCCCCGCAATACCTCGGGAGACCCCTCCCGTGGAGCCCCCGCTAGGCCGGGAGGCTGCTGGGTGCGGAGACGCGGAAGAATCCCTAAACGAGGATCCAGCGGTTTCTTAGAGGGTATTCGCTCGGTTTTTTGGGCAAGCCTTACAAGCCCCCGCAGTGGGCAGCCACTGCGGGGCTTGTAAGGCTTGCGGGAGCCAGGTGTGAGGTCCGTTCAGCGGTGTGCCTCTTAAAGGCGCCGTCGTCTGTAAACAGATGTTTTGCCTACGTCACAAAAAAGGGGTATACATACAAAAAGCTCAAGAAATGGACCTCTAACCCAGAAACTAGTAAAATTGCAATTCTTTGCAAATTTGGTTTGGATTGGTTGGTTGAAGTAAGGAAATACAAACTAATTTATGATTCACGTTCAAAACGAAGGTCGCGTTCCTAATTGAATTGATAGCGACAATCTTCCCGAATAGAAGAAAATTTGAGTATAAAAATAAAACGTGTGTGTGTGTCTGTTGGCAACTTGCCGACTGACTGGCGAATCGTATGATATCGTATTATCGGAGCATACCGTTTAAGAGTTTAGGTACCGCGGCACATTCTTCATTAATACCAAGAAATGACGTATTAAGATTTCTCACTGTACTCATATGCACGAAAGCACATGCATATAACAAATCAATCTTATATAGCCTTAAGTTCTGATTTCGGCAAATTAGAATGTTCTCTTATAAGACAATGATTTATTCTTCAATTATTTTTGTCAGATGGCAATTCTGCTAGTGTCAAGTAAAATAAACATTTATAAATCTAAAAAGTAGAAAAATCCACGCGGTCCAGGCATCACACAGTAACGTTAAGGATTCATGATCTAGGCAGCTCCATAATCAAAATAGGTATCAATAATAAAGAACGTATAACTTCATAATGTATTTATAAAAATCTTAAGAAAATGATGTCAAACACTCCCGGATCGCAAGTAAACTAAATTAGGTAAAGTAAACAGATGTTCTGTATTCCATTTTAACGGAGAATTGAGCGTCGTTATATCCTTTCGGGTTGGAGTGGTCGACCGGGGAAGTCAACTCCAACATACAGCCGCAGCCTGGAGTGATTTTTCATTTTGTGAGAAAAAATTGGACCTAGGATTCCGCTCACATCGAATCAGAGTTCCAAAGGGTAGGGGGAAAGGATTCCGTCGTGCCACGAGTGCAGCGGTGCCGTTCTTAAGATGAAATTTATGTTCATAAAGTCATAACTCAAAACGGCTTTTTCTCAAATGCACGTTGGAGCTCTTGCTGCACAGCACGGCACACCCTCGAGACGTAACCATAAACCCAGACCCCTCCTTCCTAGTTGGCACTTTGGGCAAGTGCCCAGGGCCCCGCGATCTATAAGGGCCCCCTTCAGATCAAATACAAAGTCCCTAGTTCCTGTCAGATCACCAAACGATAACCAATATTTATTACAAAAAAACTTATATAATTCGAGGAAATTGAACCTAAACATCAGGTGGGGTGGAGTCATGAAAAAACACAGAAAATGGACTGAACGCCACTCGCTGAACTTGACTACTCCCTAGAAAGAGAGAAAGCGATGGTGCAACCAATACCTGTACTGTACGATCTACTGGCCGCATGACTGCTTCGTATCTTTCACACTTATCTGCCCCCGTTTTTGACACGAAACGCTTTGTTCATTCGCTATGTCTGTGGACACTATCATGTGGTGCTGGTTGGGACCATAGCATAGTGGTTCTATGGTTCTGTGGTCACAACAGTTCCGCAATCTCAAGCCGAAGTGTGAGTTGCGCCTCGATTTTTATTACGACTGTATAGTCGATAGTATTATCGGGTTTGCGTTTATGTCGAAATTACTGTGATGCATATTTAAATTCTATGCTCTGGCGAGATCTAGCTATATGCTGTAGAGCAACACTCCTGGTCGTGTTGCTCTATGCTCCAGGGTGATGATGATCTGTAATAGTTTATTTATTTATTTATTAATACTTATGCACACGTGTACAAAGGCGGACTTAGTGCCGTAGGCATTCTCTACCAGTCAACCATAGGGTGTTGTGGATAGATAGTGGTAGTGTGCACAACTTGATGGAAAAGAAAGATAAACAGATATAAATATGAAGTAGTCGTATATATAATTACACATACATAAATACACTACAACTAATACTACATATAAAAAACTATACATATACATTCACACATATAAACATACATAATTCATACTAAATAAATATAGAATAATGACGACTAACGTTTAAGCTTGACTGCTTGTTTCTGTAAAAAGCTTCGTAGCTTGGTTTTGACGCTAATTTGGCTGGTGGACATTCTAATATACATATTAATAGTTCACAATATATCGAAAGTAGTGAGACGCAGACGAAGGGTTTAGAAGTTTACTATGTCGAATAACATGCTCTATTGTGTGCTATTTTTAGGTTTGACTCATAATCTGCCTAGTAAAACTTGGGCGACTAGCCTAGATTAAAAACTTAAACAATGAACAGAACTAGCCATTATTTATTACACTTCGTGAGTTAGTAAAAAGTTAAAATTTAGTTTAACTTGAACTGGCCTCGTTTGGACAGTTAATAACCCTGTGTGTCTGTGTGTGTGTTATACTTTCAGAAGAACAACGTGAAAAGCTGAAGGAAGAATGGTTATTCAGATAAAATATTAAATCTTTATTTGTATAAATACCGAGCAATCTCTCTCATATCGTGTCTCTCTCACTACGGGACATTGGCGAAATTTCTGTGTAAAACGGAAACAGCCACAGAACAAAAATAAAATAAAAATAATTGTCACTGTCAAATTATGACCTCATTTTGACTACCGTCAAATGGTGGGTGCAACCTATTTTTACCTAACCGGTACTTTGAGTAAACAGTTGAGTAACTTGGTGCAACTCACGCTAACAACAAAACCAATGATTTCAGATTCGTAGTACCTATAAGTGTTTGCTTACAGCGGTGTGTTTTTTTCCATTTTTTTTATAAGTGTTTTTCTGGTTACCTATTTTTTTTATGGAACAAAATGTATTTATGTTCAGTATTATTTTTCGCACTCTCCCTTAATTCTTGTTTTTATCCCATTTTCACTTCGTTATCTTGTTTTAAAATGTTTTTACAGTTTTACGAATTAAAAGTGTTGCGGAGGCATTTGTTATTTGATTTTGAACTATTTGTGTTCTTTATAAAAGCATCGAAGGCATTGTTTTATCTTTATAACACAGAATATACGCAATATTGTTATATTGAGTGCACATACTGCGTGTTTGAATGTCCAATTGTCACTAAGCGAATTGTGGTCATGCACCACAATTTAAACGAATCACTTTTGAGCCGCGAGTGTCGTATCTTCCCTTTTTGTTTTAATCTAAGTTCGTTACATAAAAACTCGCTAAAAAAATAGCCCAGCTTTTATTAATCGTATTTGCTTCAAAACTTTTATGTGATCAAATACTGAGAAATATTTTTAAGATAAGAAAAACTGTACGTGACTAAATCTCTGTGTATGTTACTCGCTCGTGTTGTGCTGATCTCGGCTAAGACGTACAATGGCCAACGCGTAAAATTGAACAAACTTTTTGTTCTGTAACTTTTAATTCGATTGCTTTAAAGTTTGAATTTGATTGGAATGAGTTCGCGTTGACGTGCTGTTAGTTGTGCTTAACTATCTGGGCGTCAGGTTTCTTAGCCAGAAGGCAGATCATTGTTACCTTTCAGTTGGTTGTCAAACTGTTTACGTGTCGGTGAAATAATAGATGTGGCACATCCCGTGTTCTGGGAACTGGCCTTGCATACGTCGGCACCGCAGAGCGTTATGTTCATAACAAAATAAGATTACCCACCTCCTACCTTGTGCTCGTATAATTGCGATTAACCAAATCACAACTTTACGGTGAAAAAAAAAGAAATAAATTTTATTGACCTTAAACACATATGTATTTACAAAAACGGAACACAGCAAGACAGGCCAACTAGGTCCCTGCCTCAGCTTAATGCTATAGCAACACCAGGGCTGCTGCAGCGCTGATAATTCTGGCATTCCTTGCATAAAAACTTTTTCTTTAATCTCAATGAATAGTTACTTCAGAACCTTTTCAGAACATGTATCGTCATCATCGGCCTATTAATGTCCCCACTTTTGGGGCACAGGCCTTCCCTATGGATGGCCTGCGTGGTCATGGCCCAATCTCCCTAGATTGAGCCATGACCCAGCCAGGCAGCTGCCCGAAAGGAGGGGGGCCCTACCCACTAAAAACCTGACGATGCCCCTAACCTCACCGACGGGCCATTTCTTCCCCGGGCGAATGATCCACCATCTGGCGGCACCCCACCCAGCGAGGTTACGGCACTGGGTGAGGCCACGGGAACCTTTTCGGATACTTCCGCGACCTCACCAGTGAGTGTCCGACTTGAACGGACCCACCCATCATGGGGATGCCCCGAGGCATCAGCGGCATCCCCGACTATCACAGAGGCCTGTGCAATGCAGGATCCGGACCTTCCAAGTCCGGACCCCGCTGGTCTCCGTCTGTAACGACCAAGAGTCCTCACCCTTCTGCGTCTGAGAATCTCCCGGGGCTTGTTCTTCTCGGACCCTCTCGGCGGCCTCCTTCTGCGAGTACGTCATCTCGCCCCCCAAGACCTGTCACTGCCCAGCATGGCTCTGACCACGCTGGGCAGGGAGAGGTGTTCTCCTACCACCGCGATCAGAGCACGCCGCTGCTGCGTCCACGCGGGACACTCCTCAAGGGTGTGCGTGCCCATTAGTGTCCACCGCAGCGCCGCACTCATGACAGGTCGGAGTCGCCTCCCTCTGGATCCGGTGCAGTGGTACTGCCCGAAGCACCCGTGCCCGGACCATACCTGCACCAGTGCTAATTGCTTACCCTAGCTAGGGGCCACGCCCACCCTTTCGACTGGGCCCTTAAAATTGGGTAATGTAAATTTTATACTTACTGGAAGTATATCGGAATAATACTAAAAACTATACATTTGTATTTTTTTTAGTCCTAAACAGTTTAACTATACATTTGTTATAATCATCAAGTTTAAACAACGCTATGCGCGGTCACAATTTGTTTGAGTGGCCAAATCTTTTTGTATTCTTTTTGTAACTTTTAGATTTTACTAAGTAATTATAATTTATACGGAACCCTCGGTGGGTGTGTCCGACTCGCACTTGTTCTGTTTTGTTTTATACATATCTAGTACAGAACATTTTTTTTGCGGAAATATAACATAAATCGTTATCTGGATTCGCTAGTAAATTTTCTCAGTTAACTCAAAATTCACGGTGTATGTATACCATACCTGAGGCGAGATAAAGTCATTTCATACCTAGACCTTTTATATAGTTTTTTTTTTTATTTCAGGCTCGACCAAAGGGCGAAGGTCTAACACCCTACCAGGGCAAGAAGCGTTGCTTCGGCGAATACAAATGCCCCAAGTGCAAACGCAAATGGATGAGCGGCAACTCCTGGGCCAATAACGGCCAAGAATGCATCAAGTGCAGAATCAATGTCTTCCCCCACAAACAGGTAAGCTTAAGGCTAAACTTAACTTACGAACCGATGGGGCATAGAGTTGACGTTCACAAGAGCTTGTAACAGTCTACACTGAATAAATAGTTCTGAATTTTAGGCTATGATGGCCGCTTACCATCAGGCGGCCGCTTTTATGCCATACTTTACATAAAAAAATACAATTAACGACCACCGTCGGTTTGTACGCCGGGTTTCATGGTGTCGCTTACTCGAGTTTGAATTCCGATGGGGGCAGATGTTTGAGTGATGAATCTGAGCATTTATACTCCACTCATGGATGTTTGATATGCATTTCTTTATAAATATATTTATAAATGTATGAATATATGTATTCTAACCGTTATCCTAGTAGCCCATAACACAAGCCTACAGTGCTTACTTTGGGGCTAAGTTAATTGGAGTAAGTGTGGGAAATATTTATTTTATTATTATTATTATTACTATGATAATGATGATTAATATGGTCCATGTTTGATTGCAGAGGCCTCTAGAGAAACCAGACGGGCTGGATGTGAGTGACCAGTCGAAGATCCACCCTCAATACTTGTGCCAGAAATGCCGCTCCCTAGGCTACTACTGCCGCCGCGAGTATTAACCAACACTTTAACAACAACCTTAGATTTTTGAAAATACTATAATGTTATTTGTTTCTTAGGTTTTCACGCACACCACTCATTAAATAAAACATGCTTAAAGAGGTTAAAAAATGCCTCTTTTTATTGCTTTTTTTGACGTTTCCCATCCTTTTCAGGCTGCGTCGTCAGAATTATGATTTTTGTTTATTAAGTCGAACTACCTTCCTACACCCACGTAGCCTGAAAAGAGTACGAAACGTCAAAAACTAATAAAAAGACCCGTTTGAACCCGTTTAAGCGTGTATTATTTAATACTCTGTAATGAACTTAATTATAAAATCATAATGTCATGATTCATTGTAACTACATTTTGCCAAGCCCTGGTCAGGGTGCACAAGCATGTAAACGAGCTAAGCCTAAGCACGAGTTTTCGACAACTCCGTAAAGTATCGTAATCGTCAAATTTTGTATGGAAAAAAGCTACTTTGTTCATTAGCTGCTTAGTTTTCATAGAAACTTTGACGACGCGTTACGTCACGGAGCTGTCAAAAAGTCGTGATTGGGCCTCTGGTTGGTCTTTCTAAAGCTGCTTACGGATAGCACGTACATTGGAAGTATCGTAATCGTCAAATTTTGTATGGAAAAAAGCTAGTTTGTTCATTTCCTGCTTAATTTTCATAGAAACTTTGACGACGCGTTACGTCACGGAGCTGTCAAAAATCGTGTTTGGGCCTCTGATTGGTCTTTCTAAAGCTGCGTACGGATAGCACGTACATTGGAAGTATCGTAATCGTCAAATTTTGTATGGAAAAAAGCTAGTTTGTTCATTAGCTGCTTAGTTTTCATAGAAACTTTGACGACGCGTTACGTCACGGAGCTGTCTAAAAGTCGTGATTGGGCTTCTGATTGGTCTTTCTAAAGCTGCGTACGGATAGCGCGTACATTCGTTCAGGTCGCGGCACGTAACTCTAGCGCTGAACAAAACGCTGGGGGGATAGCTGCGCATGGGTACGACTGGAAAGCCATCGGCGCAACGCACGTCCACCCGCGCACCTCGTTTCCCCCCAGCACATCTTAATATTTACTGCTCCGCAATAACGGTCAGTTTCGTGCCGCGACTTATACGCGTAGTCGATTTTAGGCGCGCCTTAATTGGAATGCTATGTTCATACTTACAGCTGTTAGTAGATCACGCGTTACAAGTATTTATATGGCGTTCCAGGACATGCGGCGTAACCGCGACTACACGTACCCTGGATCGCGGTATCCGTACACAGCTTTACATAGGCTTGGAGGAGCTTGCTTTTGATTTTTTGCGATCATAGGGAGTTTCGGAAATTGCTCAATCTTACTGAAAAAAGGTTGGATTTTTGAGAAAACCCGGGTCGCCTCAGTATGATTGACAAAAAAATCGTTCATTTATTCCATATATTGTTGGGTTTTTGATACAACAACAATACAACCAAAGGGTTACAAAAGTGATAATAATTCAAATGTCATGTATATATCGTAGGATGAGTTGATAAACCCAATTTTCACGAACATCTTTATATAATGAGCCTTCAGTGTTTATGTCACATGAAAATGGACTAGATGGATTAACCAATATTAACTAAATAACTGCGGCTAGACGCTAATATGTTTACTTTAATCAATCTATTAATATTGTGTCTATATCACCGATGATATTTAAAAGAACTTTCGGTCTTACTACAAAAAAGTTAGACGCCGTTTTAAACCTTGTTTAGGTAAATTTGTATTATGTATTTTTTTCTTAAACTCGTGAGGAATGCATGTCTAACTATTTTGTGGTAATAAGGTTAATTTTTAATATAAGTTTTGTACTCTTAGATGATATGGTTATAATTAGATGTATATTTCGGGAGGAAACTATGTTTATTTTTTTGTTTCAATTGTACTTTAATTAAGTAAGGCTATACTGAATGTTATTCTTGTGATTTAAACTCCAAATGGCATTAAAGTTACTTATGAAGTTTATATGTATATTTAGTGATAGGGCGTTTTTTTCTACTTTTGTGTATTCATTTATTAATGGTAGTTTTCCACTAACCTCGTTGAAAACTATTGATTAAAGTTTGACATTGTTTAAAAGGAAATATTTTTAAAAATAGGTCCCACAAATGTTAAGTAACGGTGATCTCCAGATGCTAAGATAGCTGGTACGGCAGTATTACCTGCCACGCCGCTCATTCTGAAATATGTAATGCCTTGATCACACGTACCGGATACTCGGCCTAATAACTAGAACGGGAGCCGAGCTACTGTCTCGCCGTTTCGTGCGGCCGACCGCTCCGTCGAGCACTCTGTACCCTTAGTACGAGTTTTACAATTACGAAAACTATGATAGTTTTCGTGAGCTCGTACTCGTGTCAAGGGTACTGAATTTATTGTTTTCGTTTCAATACAAATAAACAGTGTTTAAATTCTATAATTAAATCATTTGAGTCTTCTTAAATTTTAAGTATATTTGGTTACTTTTCACCAAAGTGGACATAGAAACATAATTTACAATTACGAAAACTATGATAGTTTTCGTGTACTCAAACTCGTACTAAGGGTTCAGCGCAACGTTTATACGTATAGTACTGACTACTCGGCCGAGAGCACTGTCTCGTGTGCTCGGTCCTTGTGATCAAGGCATAATTTGCTGTGCTTATTCTGTAAAAACAATCTCAAACTTTCAAATTCGTATTCTAATATCAAAACTGTAGTTTGATATTAAAAAAGGAATTTGAAATAAAATTATAATCACACCGGTGCACCGGTGAATTTCGCTGTGAGCTTGTCCTTACAGAAAGCACTGCTGATAGTATGTTTGTAAGGTCTGAAAATGAGCGAAGCACAGGTCCATACCTGAAAATGAAGGGACAGCACCATTACTGACCCTTCTTCCATGTTTCAGAAACCAGTGTTTCTTTACCAACGCATTGCAAAAAACAAAAATTGTGTCTTTTCTACTCAAATGGTAAAAGAGTTGACAATTGTTTTAAATTTTATTTCAGTAGTAGTTTCCAGTTATTTGTTTATATTTAAATTGGGTTAGTAACCTAATAGAATTTATTCTAGACGATGTCTAACTTTAGTCAAACTTTTTAACAGTGATGTTTATTTTTTGAATTCTGAGTACGTCTTCATTGAATGTATTACATAATTGTTTGTCAATGTTTTGAAATAAGTATTGTTATCATAGTTATGATATTTTATAAGATAGGATGACGCAATTTTTTTGTATAATCGTTTGTTTATCGTTTTACTATGATTTATTATAGGTACTATATATCAATTACACACAGTAAGAGGCTGCGCTGCGTTAAAGTAAAAATGCGTTAAAATAAATTTGATTGGGTGGCAATTTTTTTATTGTAAAAAAGTCAATTCATCCCTAATACAATTTTAGTGTGCGTAAAGTGTTTGATGTGAAAACTTTTATATTTAATAAACGATATAAATTTTAATTATAAGATTTAACCCAAAAAATTCTTGACTAAAAACCAAAGACCCAGTGAATTCTCAACGTGCCAAAAATGCTAGTGTTAAGTTTAATTAAGTATTCGTTACTTATTATTATAGTGCCATAAAAATCATTATGTAGGCATATTTTTATTATCCAATGGTAATTTATTTCAATGCCGCCATTGCGCACTAAACCCCTTATTAATAAACTAAGACTAAGCTTGGATTAGTTAATCCATGATTTGTCACTGTGTTAAGTTTAATAAAGTAGTCTTTACTTATTATTATAGTGCCATAAAATTCATTATGTAGGCATATTTTTAATCCAATGGTAATTAATTTCAATGCCGCCGTTGCACACTAACTCGCTTATTAATAAACTAAGACTAAGCTTGGATTAGTAACTCCATGATTTGTCTCTGTAAATTGAATGACATATGGCATTTGAGTAATATTAACAAAACATAGCATAACTAGTCTAAGCTTACACCTCGTTTAGGGGTATATATATATAGGTTGTGTGATCACAACGAAGTAAAATTTATACGACCTCGCGAAAATTTGTGGCAGAAACAAAAATTATGGGCTAAACTGTACTTCCAGGGCCCGAGTGGTGATACTTTACACTAGGTTAGGTTAGGTTAGGTTAGTGTTGTGACCATAACGCGCGAGCTGAGCGAGCGAAGCGAGCGTGCCGGCGCCAAAAAAAAAATTCAAGAGACCTTCTCTACAAATTTTAAAAGTTCGAGTATCACCTCTTGGGCCCTGGAATTACAGTTTTACCAAATTATATTCTACAAAAAGTGATATTTGCAGTACCGAAGATATATTTTTTCGGTTACAGTTTACAATTATCTCCTTAAAAATGATTTTCATTACACAAGACAGCAAAATTGTTTTATAATTATTGTTTACAAAGATCTATTAATTTAAATTCTTATAGTGATTACGTTAAAATGAATAAGTTCTTTAACATTGGTAGTACAGAATATGCCGAAGTTAAAATAACAATATATTTTGTTAATAAACTTTATAGTTGATACCTGTTATAGTTAAGCAGTATAGTTTTGTTTCCAAAAACCCAAATGACATTTGTAATAAAAATACATATTGTGTCTTTAGAGATTCTGTCTAAAAACTGAACAAAGTTCGATTCCTTATTTAATCATATAAATTAGCTTGTGTGATAGAAGATAGCTGCTTTTCCATAAATTTAACATTTTGAATATATTCCTTTTTAATTAGATAAAAGTGTAGGTATGTTCAGAGACAAGAGATTTATATCTTTTTAATCTTTGTTTTAACAAGGCCTTGTGTCTTTGTCATTCTATAATCAAATACAAAGCGCTAAGTCAATAATACCGACATAAACCATGTTTAATCATAAGGTTTAACTAATTATGTACTAACTTAATGACTACAGTATACGTCAAGTTAAATATAAAGTTAATAAAGTATTTTTAGGGAAATATATCGCTGAATCGACGGTGCTTGCTAATAATATTGATTCCTTGTTTTTTTGTGTGTTTGTGTCTTTCCAGATTTAAGTAAATAAAAATAATATCATTTGAAAAACTTTACAAAATTAGTAAAATTCATATTTTCATACATAATTCCGTCACATTTAGCGATTTTGATATTTTTAGTAGGTACATAACGTGAAATGCTGCTTAACTGAAAAAATTACCTACCCATTTATAACCAGAGGGTACCCTATATTTTATAAGATTTAATTTAACATTACTTAAATAAACCACTATATTTGTTTTAGATAATAAGGTTTAATGTATTCTATTAAGAAGAAAACTAAATAATAAAAAATACGAGTGCGGGATTTGAACCGACGACCGCGGTGATGCGTATAACGTGGGTCCCGTGGCAAAAACTTAACACACTGCGCCGTTTACATCGATACTGGAATAGCAAACATTGGTATCATATGCAGTCTTGTCAGCATATTTGAGTAACAAAATTTTTTGATTCGGTCGCCGCGCTCAAAGCCCGCTATAAAAGCTATCATCATCATCATCATCAGCCTATTAATGTCCCCACTGCTGGGGCACAGGCCTTCCCTATGGATGGAATAGGGAGATTGGGCCATGACCCACCACGCGGGCCCAGTGCGGATTGGTGGGTGCTAACGACTGCAAATGCAGCCGGGACCAACGGCTTAACGTGCCTTCCGAAGCACGGAGGAGCTCGAGATAGTAAATTTTTGGTCACCCATCCAATGACCGACCACTGCGAAAGTTGCTTAACTTCAACGATCGCAGCCGAACGCGCTAGCCACCTGCACCATCGAGCTCCTCTCTATATAAAAGCTATACAATAGCTTAAAAATTAAATAATACTTCCTCCATTTGTGTTACGAAACAAAGATCCAGGTCTTACTTACAACTTTAAAATTTAATGAGCGAAGTTTCCTTTTAAAATGCTGTAATTCTTTGTTAGATTAAAATAATATATTGTTAAGCATTTACTTATATTTTTTATCGGTTAAGTCGTGCACAGAAAATTTACAAGAAATTGATCTTGTCAGTGTTGTGTACAAGTTTTTCGTTTCAGATCCATTCAGAAACCAGAACCATTCAGTTTTTCGTTTATTTATGCACTTTTATCAGAGTAAGGATCTGGGGACCAATTGCTATGGCTATCACTATCGCTTACAATTTCATTTTGTTATTTCTGACCGCTGAAGGTTTTTCAAATACCTAAAGTTCATTTTCTTTAATATTGTTATTACTAATTTGCATGCAAAAGAAAAAAAAAGCGCGAGGCATTTGAAAACCTCTGGCGATCGAAAATGACAAAATAAAATCGTAAGCGACAGCGATTGCAATAGC